TTCGCAAGGTCCGCGATCGGCGCCTAGGCCTCGGCGAGCGCGAGGGTCTCTCGCATCTGGTCGATATGCATCCACATCTTCTGATGTTCCTCTGCTTGACGGTCTTGTTCTCTACGAGTGCGTGCGACGACGTCATGAAGGGTCTCGACTCGTCGTTCTGTAGCCTGGACTTGCTGTGCAAGGAGTTGGCGAAAGCTTTCGCGTGAATCATTGAATCGGACGTTGGCTTGAGCTTGGAATGTACTGGCGGCATGTGCAACTTGAGCTTGCATGAGATCTTGGAGAGCTTTGTCGAGCTCGGGGTCCAGACCTGGGAGGCGAACGGGGTCGCCTGGCGTAGCGGCATCGGCATCGGCGGCAGCTCCGACGGCGGCAGCTCCTCCAGCGGCTGCTGCTCCACCATCACGCCATGGGTCAGCAGCAGCGAGAGGGTCGTGGCGGAGAGCTTCACCTTGGCGTTGCGGCGGCGGTGCGGATCCTTCACCAGCTTGAAATTGGCGAGCGTTAGCGGTGACGGCAGTGCGGGCGGAGTGAGCAGCTTCTTCTTCTCCAGTGTCCATGGCGAAGTGGGGCGGCTGATGGTGCGCGCGAGCTGCGGAGCGGCAAGAGCGAGCGGCATGCCCCGACGCTCGCCCTGAGCGTGGCACCGCCTGTGTAGCGAAGCCGGCGTCGACGAGCACGGCCATGGCTTCGCGCTCTGAAGCTGCTCGACCATTTTTATCAGCACGGTCTGGGGGAGCTCGGGCAGTACGATCTTGGTCGAGTCTTTCGCGTTCTCGTCGGCGTTCTTTCCTTCTTCGGCTAGCAGATGGGGCACTTCGGGAGGTCGAGCGTTCTTCGCTGGAAGAAGACATGGTTGAGACTGCGGGTTGTCGTCGGAATGATTGCTGTTCTGTTTCAGGATGTTGTTGTCGAGAGCGCCAGACTCCAGGGCCTTCGCGGAGCCACCACGTGGCAGATGCTGCAGCTGGGGAACGAGCAGGTCGACGTCCAGCGGGTTATGGAGAGGAGCGACGGCGACGTCAGAGAGGCCGACGTCCAGCTGGTGCTCGGCGACGGAGGTCGACGCGGACGACAGCGCGATATGGATGGCAGCCTGCGATGCCAGCACAAAGAGCAGGAGTGGGCGGCCGCGCGCCCCTGATTGTAGCGGCAAAGCGCTTGGGTGCCAGCTCACCCCTGGTGGTGGCTGGAAACAGTTGGGGTCGGGCCTCGGCTCAGAGGTCTCCATGCGGCCGCAGCGCGACATGGTGACTTGAGCCAAAATGGTCACGTGAGGAGGAAGAGGAGGAGGAGGAGGAGGAGGAGGAGGAGGAGGAGGAGGAGGAGGAGGAGGAGGAGGAGGATGCCCGCGGGGTGAGGCGGACCGCGTCGAGCCACGGCCACCCCTGCGAGGCGCGCGCCCCACGCGCGCCCGCGCCTCGGCGCAGCTACGCGCCCGAGGCTGTCGGCCAGGCCTCACCCCGCGCGGCCCGCAGCAGCCTCGCCACCTTGGCTGCGAAGCTTGGCGAGCTGCTGCGCTCCCGCGCGCCGCGCCTCGGCCTCGGCCAGCCGCCTTCGCCGCCCGCAGCCCCTGCTCCGCATCGAGCAGCAGAGTCACCTGCGGGCGGCAGCCTCTCCTCCTGCAACTCGCCCTCCATGGCCACGTAGTCGCCGCCCACAGCCCCTGCTTCGCATCGAGCAGCAGGTCCCCCTGCGGGCGGCTGGACCTCCTCCTGCGGCCTGACCTCTGCGGCCTCGCGCGGCGGGGACGGTCCGCCGTCACTGCCACCTGCAGCCACCTCGTCTCCTCTCTGTGCAGGGCCCACCACCGGCCGCTGGCCCTCGTCCCGCTGCTTGGCCACCTTGGCCACACGCCTCGGCGACTGCGAGGGCGCCGTCAGCTCGGCCAGCCTCGGTGAGCTGCTGCGCACTCGCGCACGGCGCCGCAGTCCTGGCCCTGCGCCGCCGCCCGCAGCCCCTGCCTCTCCTCGTGCCGCGGCATGGCGCACCACGACTGCACGCCTGCCGCCAGCTCGCCCGCTCGGGCCAGCCGCTGCGCTGTTGTCCTCCACGTCGTCCGCCAGCACCTGGACTCCGCTGGCCTCGCGTGGCTGGGGCGGCCCGCCGCCGCTGCCACCTGCAGCCACCTCGTCTCCTCTTTCGGCAGGGCCCGTCTCGGGTCGCTGGCTGCCCTCCTGTAGCCTGGCCACCTCAGCCGCCGTCTTCTGCGCCAGCGAGGGCGGCGTCGGAGCGGCCCGCCTCGGCGAGCTGCTGCGCACCCCCGCGCGGTGCCACGGGCCTGGCCCGCCGCCGCCGCCCGCGGGCCCTGCGTCGCCTCTTGCGGCATCCTGGCGCGCCGCGGCTGCACGCCCTCCACCAGCTCGCCCTCTCATGCCAGCCGCACCACAGTGGCCCTCTGGGGTCAGGGGCCTCAGGAGGCTCGCGCCCTCCCTGCCACCTGGCGCTCCTTCTGGCTTGCGCAAGGCGTGGCCGTCCTCCTCCCTCGCGACGTCCTGCGCCTGCGGCGACTGGCCTCTCACCTCCTGCGCGTCGTCAGCCATCATCGGCGGGGGCGGTCTGCCGCCGCTGCCTCCTGTGGCCACTTCGTCTCCTTCCTCTGCAGGGCCCGCCTCAGTCCGCTGGCTGTCCTCCTGCTGCAGCTTGGCCACCTTGGCCGCCCGCATTGGCGACCTCGAGGGCGGCGTCAGCGCGGCTTGCCTCAGCGAACCGCTGCGCACACGCGCGCGGCGCCGCGGGCGCGGCCCTCCGCCGCCGCCCGCAGGCCCAGCTTCGTCTCCTGCCTCGGCCTGGTGCGCCGCGGCTGCACACCTGCTGCCAGCTCGTCCTCCCAGGCCAGCCGTCGCTCTGGAGCCCTCTGGGGTCGGGGGACGCCGTGAGCCCGCATCCTCCCCTGCCCCACCACCTGGAGCTCCTCCTGGCGGCCTCAAGGGGTGGCCGTCCTCCTCCTCCGCGATGTCCCGCGGCGACTGGCCCCTCCCCTCCTGCACGTCGTCCGCCAGCACCGTGATGTTGACTGCCACCTCGCTGACCACCTTCGGAACCAGCCCCTTCCTCAGCCTCGCGACTGCGGCGGCACCTGCAGCCGATGGGACACTCCTGCACTCTAGGTGGAAGGAGCTCGCTCTGGCCGCGCCTGTGAAGCCGCACGCCCTGCAAGCGACCAGCGGCATCCTGCGCACCAGCAGCCTCCAATCCACAGGCGCAAGGAGCACCAGGTCATGCGACGCCCTCTGCTGAGCCTTCAGCCTGTTGTTGGCCCTGATCGCCTCGGCGACGATGCTGCCAGGGCACTCACCTGATCTGCCTGACCATCTGCACACCTCGCACCAGGGACGCTGGCCAGGCAGCCTCCGCCAGACGCAGGCCATCCTCGCCGCTGGCTCCTTGCGCACTGGCAGGGCTCGCTGCACCTTCGTCTTGCCGTGCGTGGTGTCGCTGCCGTCGACCCAGCTGCCAACAGCCGCGCACCACATGGCTGCTCGTTCGACCACGTCTCGGCTCCTCTCCAGGCGCTCTCTGTCCCGCGCGGGGAGGCGCCCACTGGCCGCCGCAGCCTTTGCCGCCCTGTCAGCCAGTCGGTTGCCGTACCAATCTCTGTACAGCACCTCGCCTGCCGCCACCTGCCGCCGCGTACTGTGGCTGGGCATCCACCTGAGGCTAACCTCATGCCCAAGACCTCCTCGTTCGTCCAGCAGGTCCCAGGCTCGCCGCCACAGGTGCGCCCATGTGTACGCGTAGCCCGTGGTGCCTACCCTGCCGACCTTGTAGAAGCCGTCGTACACGTACTTGGAGTCGACCACCAGCACTGTGACACCTTGGCCAAACCTGAGCGCCATGATCACCGCCGTGAGCTCCCCGCCGTTGATGTCCACGCAGTGGCCCTCCATCTGGCCAGCGATGGAGGCCCTGTAGCCGTCGCTGTGCGCCTGCAGCGCCACCACACTCCAGCCAACTGCCGCCACCTCCTCGTAGTCCGCCTCGAACGCCGAGCCGTCGAGAAACAGCTCGCCTTCAGGAAGGGTGCCTCCTTCGTGGTCGCCCTTCCAGCACACCTCGCTGCACGCTGGCGGGCGGCGGATGCCCCGTGGTGTCGGCCACAGACACCTTCCAAGCAGCAGCTGCACCTCGGGCCTCAGGAGGAGGAGGAGGAGGAGGACGGGGACGAGGAGGAGGAGGAGGAGGAGGAGGAGGAGGAGGAGGAGGAGGAGGAGGAGGAGGAGGAGGGGGAGGAAGAGGCGGAGGAGGCCCTCCTGGACGCCCCCGGCCCCTGGCACGACCCGAAGGAGGGGCAGGCCGCAAAGCGTGCGAGGGGCCCGCCCGGCTGGGGCGGGGCCGCCGCGCGGGCCCTGCCGCCCCGGGACCTTCCAGTGGAGCCCCCCTGGGGGCCACGAAACGCGTGAGAGAGCAGGCACAAACCCCGGGAGCCCCCCCACACTCTTCCACATCTTCGGGGTGCTCGTCTTCCCCCCCCCGCTGCCCGTGATTTTGTCCCGCACTGTCCGGGGAACCGACGATTCCTCGTGTCTGTGTGTGTTTTTCCCCCTCCTGAGAGAGGCCTGCCCAACAGGGGCGGGGCCTCCATGCGGATCTTGCCACTGGGGCCTCCAGCGGTGCTCCCTACGGGCGCAGCGTGCCCCGCCCGAGCAGCAACGGGCGCCCCTTCCAGAACGCCCGAATTAGTCGAGTTCCCCTTCCGCTCCAACGGGTCATCTTTGGGGAAATCGGCAGGTACCGATACCGCTACAATGCTCCACGGACCTCTCCTGGGGTGCGTTCTGACATGAATTTCGAGGCGAATCCCGCGGTGGCGACGAAGGCTTCCCAGAGGGCCCAGAAAGGCGAACACGAGGCCAGGGTATCTAGCACTGGTGCCTCTTCCTCCTCCACACCTCCCGCACGCCCTGAGGGCCTCATGCGCTGCAGAGGCGAACGCCTTGTTCGCAGCTCCTGCTGGCGGTCCTGCTCTGCCGGGAGGTCGCCCGGGCGCGCGCCGCGCGTCACGCGCACGAGAGGCTCCGCGGGCGGTGCAAGGCCCTCCAGGGCAGGCGCCGGCAGGCCGGCCCGTGCCCCCCCGGGGTCTTCTCGCAGAACCTGCAGCAGAAGTGGGGCAGCACGCCCGTCACGGCGAAGCTGCAGGCCTGGGAGGGGCCTCCACGGGGGTGACCGCGGGGGGCGGGCGCTGAGGGGGCAAGGGGGCCATCGGCGGATGCCAAGGTGGTCTGCACCGGGCCAGACGCAGCCGAGAGGTGGGCTGCAGTGCAGGTGCCCCAAGTGGCCTTGGGGGGTGAGAGATCCGACCGAAGTGGGCTCCGCCCTCTCCGTGGAGTTACCCAACCCCCTAGCCACTTGGGGCACGTCTAAACCACTTAGAAGCTAGGTTGGGCCAGATACACCCCACCTCAGCGTCCACTTGTAACTGCCCTATCCCCTGAGCACCCACCCGCGGCCATCGCAGCAGGTGATCTCCAGGCGCCCTCCAGAACGCCTCGAGATGGCTTCGCATGGCCCAAAGATGGCCACACATGACCTCCAGACGGCCCAATATAGCCTGGCGCAGCAAAACGGCCCAGGCAAGATGCAGAACAACGATCCTCATTGGAAACACCCCACACACGCGGAGCCCTTTGGTAGACGTGCCGGAGGAAGGAATCAGACACGGCAGGACTGCTTAGGAAAAAAACGCCCAAGTGAATAGGATATGTATGGGGGGATAGGCACATAGGATAGGAAGCGCAAGTGAATAGGATATGTGTGGGTTTTTTCCTCCCTTGACCAGGGGGGCTTAGGGAAACGCGAGATCGGGGCAGAGGGCAAAGGCACGATAGAGAATTTTACGCTGAGAGCCTACTCTGGGTGGGATATTAATCGAGGTGTGGGCGACTAACCTTCCGACGGAGCTTGCCCATCCCCCCCCTCCTCCTCCTCCTCCTTCTCCGCCTCCTCCTCCTCCTCCTCCTCCTCCTCCTCCTCCTCCTCCTCCTCCTCCTCCTCCTCCTCCTCCCCGTTCTCCTTCTCCTCCTCCTCCAACCGCCCCTCCACCCGTTCCGACAGCACGTGCCCAACCCCCCCAGCGGATCCAAGGGAGTGGCGATGATTGCCCCAGCCAGAGTAAACAAAACTGGAGAACAAAACAGTGTGAATGGCTATTTGTCTACAGTTACCCGCAGCGTAGACCGTTCAGCTGCCCCCTGTTCGCCAAACTCCACTGTCTCAGAGGGAGCTCCTCGGACGTCTTCCCCCCTCCCAGGGTGGGGGGGGGAACCTCTACGGTCAGGAACTTTTGCTTCGCGTGTCGTGGCGGCGGCCCCGGTGACACGCGATGCCTTCAGAGGAAGAAAGCGCTGCACAAACGAACCTTTCGGCGGTCCGCGCGGATCTCTTCGATGCGTGCTGGATCCCCCTCCCTGACGCTCGGACCGTGCTGGATCCCCCTCCCTGACGCTCGGACCGTGCTGGATCCCCCTCCCTGACGCTCGGAGCTCGCCAGGGGCGGCGCCAGAGGCGCCGCCGGGGAGGCCCCGCGCCGATCCAAGACGTCCGCGTGGACCGTCGACAGTCTGTGCTCATTCCACTTGCGGATCTCCGGGGCCCTGCGAGCGGATGGCGTGCTCGGGAGCGGCCAAGAGGGGGGGTGTCCAAGAGCGGGGGGGTGCAAATCATGACCGGCGGCATGCGCGCGGCCCAGCGGGGGGGGGGCCAGGGACGTAACGAGGCAAGAAGAGGCGCCGCGAAACCTGGGGAAATGTCATGGCCCCCGCCATGATAATTATCCCCCCCCCCTAGTCATCACCCCCCTCTTTGCCGTCCCCGACGTGTCCCTCCGCTCCGAGGGGCGGGAGGCCGGGAAAGGCTCGGGACGTGGACGCTCGGGGACCGCGAGGTCGAGCGGCGTGCCGCGGCAGAGTGCAGCGGACCAGAACCGGCCGGAGCGACGCGCTGAGCCAGAGTTCCTGGCGGTAGCTCACCTCCGCTTTCGGAAGCCCCGAGCCCGAACGCGCTTTCCTCTCCTGGGGGTGCCTTTTTCGCTCCCACTACCTTCCGCCGCCCTTCCGCCGGCCTGGCTTCCGCCGGCGGAGGCGGCCTCGGCTTTACTTCTGCCGACCCTCCGCCGCCTTCCGCCGCGCAGCGGCGACAGCCCCTTCGATCCTCGCAGCCACAGCCCTTCCTGGGAACCTCTCCCGACGAGCAGGAACGGCATGCGAACGAACCTCCAGAGGCCCGCGCAGATCCCACTCCTCGGCCTGCGGCCCCTCCGGCCGCCCCTGGCGCGCTCCGCGCCTCCGCGCGCCAGGGGGAGGGGGGGGATCCAGCGCAGCTCCGAGGAATCCGCGCGGACCGTCGAGAATTTGTCTCGACGGTCCGCTTTCCTCCCAGTCTTCCGCTCTCAAGGGAGGAAGGGGGGAGGGGGGGGGGGGGCCTCGGCCCACCTTCCAGCTCTCCCTCCCTCCCTCCCCCTCCTGCCTGTTGCCTCGCTCGCCCTCGCCCTGCTCGCCATCTGCCTGTCGCGCCCACCCCGCCCGTCGCTGTCGCCGTGGTCGTCCGCCGTCCGCCTGCTCACGTCGGTCCCCCCCCCCCCTCCTTCTCTGAGGGAGACACAAGCAAGTAGAGACACAAATTCTAGGATTAGACTGTAAGAGCGGACCTCCCAGCCACTCCCACCCTGCATACCGCGGCCGCCAGACCCCAAGTTGTCCCGAGTGTGCCGGTTATCCCGCCTCGCGCCCCCGACAAACACGACAGAACACACCCTGCATACCGCGGCCGCCAGCCCCCAATGTGTCCCGAATGTCCCGGTTATCCCGCCTCGCGCCTTCGACAAGCACGACAGACCACACCCTGCATACCGCGGCCGCCAGACCCCAAGTTGTCCCAAGTGTCCCGATTATCCCGCCTCGCGCCCTCGGCAAACACGACAGAACACAGTATGGCACAACAGAACATGACATAACAGCGCAAACACATGACAGAACATGGTAGAACAGAACATATCACAATCATGCCATAACAGAGGATATCAGCATACCACAGGACATACCAGAGCAGAACACGACATAACATGAAACGACATAACACAATACAATATAACATAACCGAGCAGAACCTAAGGCACATTGACATGACGTAGAATAGCATGGTACAGCGTCACCAAACATACCATGAGACGACAGCAGAGCATAGCGGCGAACTTGCCAGAACACAACACGTTAACCATACTGTAACATAATATGATACGAGCTTGCCACAACATGACAAAGCATAACATAGCAATAGCATGGCAAGCATGAGTATGCTATGACATCGAATAACATATCATATCATAGCATGGTATATCAGAAGGCGACATAACACAACAGAACATAGCATAACCGAGGAATACATAAGACACCTTGCCAAAATATCCCATACCATTGTACTTCATCGCAGAACGTATCACAAGACGACTGTAAAGCTATCGCCACATACTGGCATACCAAGTCATACCATCGTATACTGTGCCGAGCCGGCCACAAACACAAAATCACATAACATACCAGAGCATGTAATGACATAACAAAAGACGACATAATCCAACATAACATAATATAACCGAGCATAACATAACACACCATGGAAGGACACATCAGATCATGACACAGCATCACATAACATGTCATGACAGGGCACCAGAGCATTGCGACAAACGCCAATGAAATATATCAGCACATAATGTACTGAACCGAGCCGTCAACAACATCACGCAACAGAGCATATTATAACATGATATGTCAGCATATCTTGCTATAACTTAGTGCCGCAACGCAGATAATACCATAGCATCTCCAACCATATGGTGACAGATACGTGCATCAGCCTCCAGACCAGGACGGCGACGATGATCTTTTTCACGTTGGCACTGCGTCGAGGCCGCCAGTCCTGCCCCGACGCATCTAACGTCACAGGCGTCACGACGTCACGCCAGCCCGTCGACTGCAGAAGAGGACATGATAGAGCATAACATGGAAGATCGTTACTACATGGAACGCGGTTTAACAGTTTGTTAATACAGATACGGCAGTAGTGCAGTGGAGGAGTGGAGTACCACGACAGAACATGACATAACAATACATACTGACATATCAGATGATGCTTTACTATATTGAGCCGAGCTGGCAACACCATCACAGAACATATCATAGTATAACATAAGCTGGGAGAACATATCATGCTCTAACATGGTGCCAAAGGGCAGAGCATAACATAACGTACCAAAACATACTGAGGCAGAAACGTGCATGACCGATCATACTTTCACGAATGAGATAACGGAAGAGCAGAGGGATATCGTAACATAATGCACCGTGCGTGCATTTCGGTCGACGTCGCCACAGGAAGCAAGAGTCACATCCATGAGAGATACGACGACGTCTCTAGCGTGAAAGGCGTCACGACGTCACGCCGGCCCGCCGATATCAGAACAGCAGAGAGCACAGCGTCGCATTCTGCATCGGGGCAGACCCCTGCCACACACACACACACTTTAGCACAACATCACGTATACAGTAGCCACAACTCGACGGTGTCGCCCAGGCGTCACGACGTCACGCCGGCCTGCCGAGGACACACATAGGCATAATGGAGCATAACATGTTGGAGAGTTACTCCATGGACTACTGTCCAACGCTTTTGAACACAGCAACGCCGGGCACTGCGCACATCCTTCCAGCAGGCGCGCGCACTGTTTGGACCGAGCGCCGAAGGTTTTGGGTGGGGAGCGCTCGAAGCAAAATCATTTCGGTGTTTTCGTCCTCCGCCCCATCTCCCAGATTTCCTCACTTGTCTGCGGAAATGTGCATTATTCGTGTTTCTGCCTATCTTGGGTCATCTGACTGATTCGTTTTCCTTTTCGTTTTCCTATTGATTATCGTTTTGCCTGCAATGTTATTGATTTATTTTCCTATTGATTCGTTTTCCTATTGATCATCTGATTGATTCATTGACTGCAATATGCCTATTCGTTTTCCTACTGATTATCCTGGGTCATTTGACTTCGCGCAGCGCGGCCCGCGACGCACGGCCACCCTCGCGCCCCCGTGCCTTCGCGCGGCATCCCAGGTCTCCAGTCACCCCACGAGGAGGAGGAGGAGGAGGCGGAGGAGGAGGAGGAGCAGGAGCAGGAGCAGGAGCAGGAGGAGGAGGAGGAGGACGAGGACGACTAGGACGACGAGGGCGACGAGGACGAGGACCTATAGAGGCCTCCTGGTTGGGGGTCCGAGCGGATTGGGTCGTCGGACCGAGCCACATCGCCAATGCATCGCCGCTGCACCGACGACGCGGCGGCGAAGCAACAGGCGAGGCGGGCGCGAATGACATCGGGCGCCACGTCGAGCGGCATCGCCGATGCATCGGCGATGCGGCGCGATCCTCAGACCTCATCTGCTCTGGGCAGCCCAGAACCTGGTTCTCGCCCTCCCACCCCCCAAAACAAAGTACAGTCAACGCGTATCATAAGGATGCGCGGTATAAGGATGCAAGGGCCTTGGAGGCCCATGTGAAAGTTTTTCGAAAGAGGCTGGCCAGCGAAAGCCGCTGAGGATAGGCCGAAAGCGGCAAGGAAGCAAAGGGTTCACTTGGGAAGGTTGCCCATCCTTGCCACGCGCTGTGCGGGCTGACTGTGCCCGTCTGGGCGACCCTCCAGCTTTCAACTAGAGCCCCGGGGGCCGAGCACCGCTGGAGTCGCCAGGCCGGCGCCGAGCCGTGTCGCCAGGCCGCCCAGGGCTGCCTCCGCGGCCGCTGGGGCGCGATGCGGACGCGGTGGCCGTCCAGGAACACGCCGCACGCGCTGGCGGCGCACGCGCCGGCTGCCGCCTCGGCGTCCTCGAACTCGGCCAGGGCCACGGCCTGCGCCGGCGGCCTGGCGTCCGCCCGCCTGGCCGCCACGGAGACGCTGGCCACGGCCCCGAAAGCGCCGAGGACCTCGCGGACCTCCTGCTCGCTCACGCCGGGCGGCAGGCAGGACATGAACACGCCGCGGCCGCCCGGGGCCGCATCCTTCTCGCAATCCTTGGTGCCGAGGTACGCGGCGGCCAGGTAGACGTCCTCGTGGCGCATCACCTCCAGGTTCACGTAGGGGACAGGCCACTGGCTGCGATTGGACACGTCCCGCCCTCCCTCGCGCACCCAGCGGACATGCTTTCCCTTCGCCTGATGAAGCGCTGCTCGAGCCTCTGTGCTCATAGCCTTCTGAGGCGCCCTCCAAGGTAGCCTCTTGCAGGCGGGGCCGTGGCGACCACTACTCTTCTCGCAGAACCTGCAACAGTGGCGAGGCGCCACGCCCGTCACAGCGAACCCGCACCCGGCGCATCGAGGAAGTTCCCTGTCCTCCCCGTCGGCATCGGGTTCGCTGTCCTCGGGAGGCCCCCGCGACACGCGCAGGTTTGATCCTCCGCCTCCTCCTCCTCCTCCTCCTCATCCTCCTCCTCCTCCTCCGAATTCATGCTCGTTGCAGAACTGGGCGACTTGAGTTGTTTCGGAACGTCCGAAAAAAATGGCAAACGGATGCTGGTAGAAACACGTTTGTTCATTGATTTGCGACCGTGCTTCTGCTTCAGAAACGCACATTTGCGCGTTGAGTTGCCATTTCTATGTCTGAATCAAAAGTCCTTCCCTGCACCTCTGGTCTCTGATAATGGCCAAGGGTGGCGCTGTCGTTAGGCCCGAAGCGCGATGAGTTTTTCCACCGCGCGGATCTGGCAAGTGTCCTCAAAGAGAATGTGGCCCACGGGTTGCGTTTTCGTTGCGCCCGAAGCACAAATGCTGCGTCATTTCCTGTTGCATGTCTGCCTCAGAGACCCCCCTCCGCATCAGGCCCCCCGAAGGATAGCCCGGAAACAAGTTTTCGCTGCGCCCGCGGCGCGCTGAACTTTTCCCGCGCGACGATGTGAGAAATGTCGTCGGAAAGCAAAAGGTTCATAAGCAAAGCGCATGTGTTTGTTGATATGTCTTGTTTTCTTGTGCATCGTCAATCCTCCACACATCAGATTCCCGCAAGATTGGCCCAGGAGCATGTTTTCGCTGCGCCCGAAGCGCGCCGAGCCTCTCCAGCGAGCAGATGTTCAAAAGTGCATCAGCGCACAAACGCTTCACAGTAGCAATACGTGTGTTCATACATGTACTGTAGCATTTCTGCCTCAGAGATCCCCCTCCGCATCAGGCCCCCCGGAGGATGGCCCAAGGATGCGTTTTCGTTGCGCCTGAAGCGCGCTGAAGTTCTCCAGCGCGCGGATGTGACGAACGGCCCCGGGTGGAAAGAAGTCACCGGACGAGTTTTTCAAACGAACCCCCACGAAATATCAAAACGCATCTACAGCAAACAGCACGCGCGATATAGCCCAACCCGATAGCTAATCAAAACAACTCCACAAACCTTTGTTGTAAAGGAATCGCCCGCTGCCCTCGTTCCATTCGCTCGTCGACGAAGGAATAAACACCCTCGAATTTGCCTCATCGCTGAACTGCGTTCATCAGTGGACACACAATGGAGGCACATGTGAAAATATTGCTCTGTTCGCTGATACGCAAAACTCCCTCGTTTCTAATATATCACATCACCAGTTGTGAAATATGAAGATCGACCAAGTAACGCCTGTGCTTTTCGTTGGCATCGAATGTGGTTGATGTGGGCCCGCCCCGCGTACGACTATAGAGGCGCAGTGTCCAAGCGTGCTGTCTACCAGCCACTAAGCACCTCAGAACTGATTCGACTTGCAAACCGCAGACCCAAAATAGAATCGCGTCCCATGAGCCCCTAGCGTCAAACTGCTGTGCAAGGTCGTCATCAGTCCGTGGGACTAAATTCCACTCGGTAAGCCAAGTATTCCGAAAATTGCGTTAAGCACGTGCTGTGGCTCAACGACACTATTAAACGTCAAACCAATAGATCCAACAATTGCAAATGCAATGGAATATGTCAGGCACCATGGATACTGTTTCTGGTCCAAGTACATGAACGGGAGCTGGCATGTCATAGTCGCGAGGCTTGGAGGCGCGGGTGGATGTGGTAAGTATGGTGGCAGAGTGGCATTCAGGTGCTTGAGCAAATAGTTGCGGGCCCACACCATCCCTGGGTGTTCTGTTCCTGTCACCGGGGACGACATGCTTGCGACGTGCAAGAAAGTGCGGAGCAGGATAAGAGTGGTTCTTTCCCAGAGGCCTACAACAACAGCTCGCAAACGTGGCCTGCGCGTCCTGCGCCCGAAGAATTTATTCACCGTCGGGAAATGATGAACATTGCGGCTACATCTCCCGGGCTTGTGAGCGCTTTTAAAAGGTAGCTCATGCTGGCGGGAGACGGAGGGGGGAAAACACATAGGAAGAAAAAGACGCAGGATAATAATAGTCTGAATAACAACAAGTGGCACGTGTGTGCCCAGGCTCATACAAAAAACTGAAGGGGCGTTTGAAGCAGGAGTGAAATGCAACATCGAAGTCGCACTCGAGCGCAAGTGGGGTTGCCACACCTTGCGATGTGTGTACCAGGACCCCCCAGGAAGCCTCAGGAGGCCCGACTTGGATACCAGAAGAGGCTCCAGGAGGCCCCAGGATTGTGAGTGTTGTGCGTGTGTGTGTGTGTGTGTGTGTGTGTGTGTGTGTGTGTGTGTGTGCGTGTGTGTGTGATGTATGCTTTGTGCGGTGCGTGTTTTTTGTGTGTTGTAGGTGTTGTGTGTGTGTGTGTGTTATGTTTGTCTAGCGTGTGATGTGTTGGGCGTGATTTGTGTCTTTGTGTGCATGTAGTTCTGAAGCCCCAGGAGGCCCCAGGAAGCCCCAGGCGGCCTCAGGAGGCCCCAGGAGACCCCAGGAGGCTTCAGGAGGCCCCAGGAGGTTCCAGGAGGCCGCAGGAGGCCCCAGGAGGCCCCAGGAGGTTTCAGGAGACCCCCAGGAGGCTCCGAGGCGGGGTCTGGGGTGCCAGAAGGTTCAGAAAACCCAAGGAGGCCCCAGGAGGTTCCAGGAGGCCCCCAGGAGGCTCCGAGGCGGGGTCTGGGGTTCGATTTTGGAAGGATTTTTCAAGCGAAACCGCCATTCCCTGAGAATCGGGGTCACAATTATTGAAATTACCATGTGTTTTTGAAGGTTTTATGTTAACATGTTGAAATTCCCATGTGTTTCTGGACCATGACGTCACGATCTGCGTGAGGGGTGCCACCGATTTTCAGAAGTTCGAGAATGTCCCGAGCGAAACGCCCAGAAAAATCGCGGACGCGTGCGCACTAATCGCCTCTGAGCTCTACTCCCTCGGAGAGGTGCGTATGAGAATAACCATGCGAATGCTGTTTTCACGTTTAGTGATATTGCGCGGTGACGAAGAGGAGGAAGAGGAGGAAAGAGAGGAGGAGGAGGGAACTAATCGAAGCAAACCTTCATACTGTCTCGCCGCGCTCGGCGCGAACAGTGTTTTTGAATTCCTGTCTACTTAAACCCAGCAAAGAAAGATGCGAACGGCAGCTCCCCAAATTAGAACTGCGCGCTGAATCCAGAATAGAAACGCGCATCTCTGGCCACAAGCCATCCACGATCTGCAACCCCTTCTTCTAACGAACTGCCTTCGCGCGCCCATGTGGGCCCGCAACTCAAACGGCATCTACAATGGCCCACTGCTCCGCGTCGTGGCTTATTGCTCCGTGGGAAGGCTTCAAATGCTTATTTTGCTAATTTTTGCGGACGCTATTGGAATGTGGAAGGTGTTTCCCTTCTTGGGAATGAACGGCTCTGCTTGCATGCGCAAAAGACAAATTGAAAAACAAAGTTGCGGGGCGCCAGGGCCGGCGACAAAATGTCGTCGCATTTTGCCGCGCTCGAACGCCTAGAACCCCCCCCGCCCCCCCCCCGCCAATTGCGCGCGCTCGGGCAATTCTGAGAGCCCTCGCGGGCGCGCGCGCGCGCGCGGGTCGGCGGCGCGGGGCCCTGCGTCGACAGAAGGGGTGACCGCGGCGCGTCTTGTCCGCGCAGTCTCTTGGACGTGGAACGCGGGCTGCGCGCGCGGGGGCTTCGTCAGTTTCGACGAAGCGCCCGCGCAGCCGCGAAACGCCGCCCTGCTCTTTCTGCGCTCGCGGGCGCAAGCATCGCGCGGAATCGCGCGTTACTCGACGGGTGATCTGCCGCCTGTTTCGCCATTCCTGGCGCCGCGGTCAAATCGTCAGGCGACGAATGATCAGATGCGCGCTGCGAAGCTGCCTCGGCGAAAGCCAGTGAAGCGCGGGCGGCGTTCGTGGCGCTCTGTGACCAGAATTCCCTCGACGGGCCGCTCGGGCCAAGATTGCGCTTCCGTTTTTGGCGGCCCCAATCAGCGCAGCGCTGCGCGGGGTGCTGCAGCTGTGGAATCTGGCATCCTGCGACGCGCTGTTCGTTGACCGCTTCGCTATTTCGCTAGATCAATTGCATCGCGCCGCCGCGACGCGCCGAACGCCCCTCGCCCAGATCTGGCAACGCACCATCATCCACCATGATCTTCGCGAGGGGGCCCGGGCTGACGCAGGCCAGGCCGAGCAGCGCAAGTCGCCGCGAAGCGGGCGCCTGGGCGACGCGAGGGCCAGTCGTTTCTGCCCTGGCAGCCGGCATAGTTCAAGAAATGCCAGGCGCCTCCTTCAGAGATGACGTTCAGGGGGCGCCTGCTGTTCAGCCGGTCGAGGGCGCCCCGCCTCCTGTGAGCGCCCTCTCGGGGTTGACGCGGCCGCCCTTGGTCAGCGAGGCTTCAGAGGGGCGGCGGCAATTTGAAAGGGAGGGGCGAGGATCAGGAAGGAGCAGGGATGAAGCATCATTCCCCGTCGCAGCGCGCCGATCATCGAAGTGGGAACGACGTGGCGGACAAAAAAGTGACCGAAGCAAATGCAGTCGGCATCGAAACGCGAATGCCGTCGGTGACCTTGGAAACCACTAAACATCACTAAACTCACGGCGCCCCCGTCTCGCCCTCGGGGCGCAGCGCCGCGCGGGCCGGCTTGCCCTTCGGCGCGGACTTCTGCGCCGACATGGCAGCCGCGCCATGGCCATGTCGACGCGCGCGTTTGCCCGCCTGGGGCGCCCTGCCGCCGCGAGGCGCGGCGGCGTGGATCAATGAAGAAGCTGACGCAATGGTTCGACGCGAGATTGTCTACGGAATTGGTGCATCAGTGCACGCGCAAACTGTATCCTGCTTCGTGCGTGTTTCTACTGTTGGAGGTTAGCAATGCATGAATATGCAG